AGTTTAATTTAAAGACTTTAAGATAATCTTAATTTATATAATTAATTCATTTATTATAATTTTCTTCTATTCTGAGTTTAACTCAAGGATTTTGAGATAATCATATATATATTTTTCTAAATAAAATCTTGATAATATTGAGATAATCTCAAAACGATTGAGTTTAATTCAATATCTGAACTAAACTTAATCGTTTTGAGATTATCTTACAATAGCAAAAATAATCTCAAACTCAAGTTTGGTTGCATATCTATATCCCTCCCTATATCAAAATATGTATTTGCCTGGAATTGAAGGCTCAAAACCTTAATCGCATTACCTTACGTATTTTGGGCCTAACTAGGGCTTTACTTTACGTAAGGTAATGTGCTAGTTAGGCCAAGAGAAGTTTGCATAAGGTGAAAAAAGGAGGCGCGCGGAGCGACAATGACTATATAATGGATGGATGCCTAAGGCATCCATCCGAGCTAGCTAGGAACGGGTAGTGAACCCGTGACAAAAGCTATAGAGCTAGGGTTTTAAGCTGTGAAAAGAAGGTCTAAGAGAGCTGTCGTATTATGCTATATATATAGTATGAGCTAGTGGGTGGAAGAGAGCCGTCTGTTCCGTTATATAGAAACTGAATGAAATTAGCATTAGTTCTGAATAATCGATAAATAGATATTACTAAAGTTATAACTTAGCAATAAAATATTAATTGCTTTTTGTGACCAAAAGGGTATAAACAGGACTCCGATTGTGTACTTAGAATCTACAAGTGAAGAACTATGTAGGGTGCTAAAGGAGAACTATATATACAGGTACTGGGAGCCATAAGGGCTAGGCCCAGAAGAGTGAAAGAGTCCTAGACGTAAGATGCCTAGGTCTAGAGCTATAGAGCTAGGGCTCTAAGCTGTGAAAGGAAGGTCCAAGAGAGCCGTCGTATCATGCTACATACATAGTATGAGCCAGTGGGCGGAAGAGAGCAGTCTGTTCCGTCACACTTTTATAGTTCGATATATTCGTATATATACTTATAATATAAGTGCTTAATATAGTATTGAGCTTACTATCGCGAAGATGGATTGAATTAATTATTATTACTATGATTAATATTCTATAATATATTTACTATTGAAAAGATCTATTATATTAATAGAATTCCTTTAATAATTAACTTAAAAATTTATATAGTACTAGAGTAAGATTTCTATAGTTAGAGTATATTCCTATAGAATATAATGTAGATCTGAAATTATGTAAACAATCTCATTTTAGACTTATTAGAGATATCTAGATTATATAGAATATCATTTCTGGTGTATGGCTCTTGGGCGAGATAATCAAGAGATTAGATATAAGGAGGAAGTTCTGCCCTATATTATATACACCTCCGCTTACCGCTCTGTGCACGGACTCTTGGCATCTCTTCAACTTTATAAATATGGGATTTAATCCCAAACATGCACATATGGGTGTTGAGCCAACAATGAAGGTTTCAAGTCAACATTCTAGTGAACTAATCGTAGACGTGGAGGTTTACTATCGAATAATGATTGACAAGTAGCCACGTTACTTATCGAATAATAACGATAGATAAGTAGCCACGTTTACGATGGCAGCGTCACTAACACAGATTGGTGGGGTGCAGCTACGAGTAGGGATTTGTTTGTAAACGGGGCAGCGAAATGTATATTGAGATAAATATTTCTGGTTTATATAACTAATTATTTCACCTCTTGACGACCGGTCTGCCTCTTCTGCTGTTGTTAACTTTATCGCGCTCGATTTCCTTTTAATATGATACTATTCCGTGCAATTTTGTGGAAATCTCTTGATGATGGAACTTTTTGACCATATGCGGGCCCTTGCCGATAAGCTACATAATCGCACTCGAATATCTCCTCCGCAAGGTAGCACTACATGTAACTTACTCGAGTATCTGTGCCCCTCTAACATTCGATAGATCCTCAAACTTCGAGCGCCAGCGAAGGTTTGAAAGACGAACTCGACGAGCTTAAAAGATACCTGTCGACAATTCACACGCATCTACACAATAATCGGGGTAGCTCGAGGCATAATGGCTATCATCAATCAATCGGGGCTTTATCTCACATCTTGATTAGTATACACGGTGATCTCCAAGATACATTGTACTTGATAGAGAAAGAAGATAGGAAAACCTATCAGCCTGGTACAAAGGTTTACACTTGGAAACTTGAGACGTTGAGTTGGATGGTCGAATCAATAACTATCCAGAACATCAAACTCAGAGTCTTGCTCTGTACCTTCGACCCGTAAGTCGTTTATTACCAGCTATAACGTCTGCCAAATGTTGACAATTTTGCCAGGGATGAAACCGTCGAAGCCGCTATTCCTCCACATTATCGAAAGTGGAGATCGCAAATAATCGAGGACTATGTCGAATCGGAAATAAAGAGATGCGGGAGGAAGCGCGGAGAAGTAAGCTGTGTCGATGGCTACAATCACGAATATAAATGGAATATATTGAACAGTGCTGAATATCTAGCACATATCTCCGGAGATAGACTTTGCGACGTCTCATCCGGATCTTGGGAAGCTTTTATCAGATGTTTTACTCAAAATCTATATATTGCACAATATCAGTGTAAACCTTCCGATAGGTGGATACATCTTATGATTTGCTCCCATTACTTGATGTCCGCTCGAGAGTCTCGAGAATACCGGCAATTTTTCACACTTTTCAAACACCCGCAAGATTCATATATCATAGAGACGGGCTTTACTCTACATCATTATGTAACGGAGCTAGAAATTGTGAGTGGCTCCCCGTCTTTTTTAGATTGACATCGATTGACCATTTGCAGCTACTTTTTGGCATATTTACCAAACTAGAAACTGAATACCTCACCCCTGATGTCGTTCGGAAAAGGACTAAAACACAACCTTTGCATCCATCGACGTCGCAGATCCCCCAGACTCCATCTCTAGTACAAGACCGTCATGAAAGTATCTCAACTAAGCCAACTCAATCTATGGGCAACGACGAATACGGAGTGGTTTTTGAATGGTATGAAAAAATCAGCAACTTCAAGTCATGACTAAGTTAAATACTAACATCTGCTAGTCGTCTTGGTGGTGAACAAGCCGATTATCTTCTCAAAGTGCGAATTGATGCGGAGGGTGCTTTGACTATAAAATTCGACGAGGAGCCACGTCTCTGGCCTGCGAGCCTTCAGGCCTTCAGGGAATTGTAAGTCTGCACCATAACATCGTTGACTCGGTTAAAGTTCTAATTCCTTCTGGATAGGGATCTACGACGAGCTTCCATTCACCTCAGCTATCTCACTCCCGATGTTTACATGTGTGCCTTAATTCTAGAGAGAAACCGACTAGGAAGAATTGATGTCACGACCGGTTGTTTGTTTTTCCAAAGCTCAACAGATATGAAAGGTTTTCAAAGGGCTTTGACAGGGTACAAAACTTTAGTAGACTTGTTCGTTCCACCAACCTCGTTATATTGGTATTTTCTAACCACTCTTCAGTAAACGCGGCATCAAACTTCGCACCCTCGAAAAGTTCAAATGCGATAGCAAAAATGCGATCACCGGAAGACTGCAGATCTGGCTCAAAGATTCTGGCAGGAGCTATGATTCTACACAGACAGGCTTGAACTCCGTTCTTCGTAGGACATCGACATCGTTCTCGGCTACAAGTAGAACTACATTGGCTTCCATGGCCACTTTGAAGGCTCAGCAAGCTATTCCTGGCTCACAACTCACAAGAATTGATGAAGGTTGTGGCTTAAGTATAGAAATGCCCATTCCACCCCTTGTCATTATGTTTGTTGAGTGGTCGTCGAAAGATAAGAAGATTCAACGAGGGCAAATCTTAGCATTCAAATGTAAGGAAACATAATCCCATTCTTGAATTATTACTAAAATGGTCACAGTTGACGAACACTCGAAGCTTGACCGGAAGAAATGCAAGCTTGACGACAAGTTCCCTCGCTGCTTTGTGCTTCACGCTGTCCGGGTTGATCTCGAGATTGGACCTTGGAAATTTCCACTCAAACCCAAAGAGCTTAGTTGGATCGAGTTGTCTTTCTCAAACGATGAAGGTAATTTGTTAGCCAATATTAATCTTTGTGGTAAATGCTAACCCGTAGATAGAGCGTGAAGTTTTCACTAAACAGCTCGAAGATGCAAGAACAATTTATAAGAAGCGTATGGAACAACATAATAGAGGGATGAAATTTTTACGGCAAGGTCACCACAACACTAAAGAGTACGGCGCGTATTAACATCGATAATTGATTTATAATGCTTCCGATCAACTATAATGTCGACACAATGGGTAACAATTCGTGCATCATGTATATATCTTTGGACGCCTTTGCATGCTGTCTCTTAAGTCTCCATAAGTGCAAAAGATCATCATCTCCTCCAAGAAAGAAATGCTCCGAGATATAGCCTGTGTTTCAATGAAACTCACTACGCCAATGTCGCATCCAATTCGTCTTCGGAAAGAAATGTGCCTCTTCTTCTCAGAGCTGAGGACCCTTTGGTGGTTTGGTTGCCCCTTCCATGTTGAGTATCATTTACTGGACTGGACGCTAAAGCGGTATCTCTCAGCTCTATCAGACTCTCGACCATACCTTTGATATTATTTGAAACATCTTCGAAAATCAGGTCAGATCTGCTGCTGTATTTTACCATTTTGGAATGATCAGAATTTAGTGGCAAATTCCTAGCTCCTGGGGTAGCACTATCCTTAACCATGAGAATTTTCTCTCCCACAACACCATTACGCTGTTTCAATCATTAGCCTAGTCAACGCAATATATTACCTCTCCAGGGAAACGTACAGTTCTAGGCTGCGAATAATGCTTTTCCCAAAAGTACAACACTTCTGGTGCATACGAGGACCTTTCTTTTCGCTTGCAGCATCCCTCAAATCTGTTTTTTAACTCAATGAGATAGTTGGAGGGAGTCCCATTCTCACGACACAGCTGACTGATCAATACTTCGTTGGGCTGTTGCTTTACAGCTTCAATGAGTGAGGGGTTGTTTAGACCTGCAATCGGAATTCCGAAGCCGACAAGACCGTGCCAGGAGTCAAATATTTCCCTTTCGTATTGGTCATGACTATCAGCAGCTCTGAGAAGAGACTAATAAACCACGTTCGATTAGCATCTAGTTTAGGCTGATAGAAGGGAGACTTACTTCTTGCACTATCAAACCTCCCAGACTTTGTCCGATGAATATTATGGGTCGTTTTGGAGTCTGTGGTTGGATTTTAGCGACAGTATACACCAATTTCAAAGTAAGTAGGAAGGTACTTACCGAGGTGGCTTTGCGGAGTAGCGCCAATCGATTCAAGAAAGTAGTTGCGATATCCTCAACTTTTTCCATTGATTGGCCTCCAGAAACAGTAGAAGGATATCCGTATAACAAAACCCTTGTATTCTGGATATCTTTTGGCAGAAAGTCTCGCAGCCACATATCATGGCTGCCATGGATTGGGGAGCGAAAAGTTCCAAATGCGTGCGTCCCGAGGCCGACCACAGCCACGATACTAGAATTCACGTCAGTCATGGATTCAAACCAATTTGAGAATACTCGTACTCAACATCAACTGGTAACCTTTCAGAGCTGGCATTGTATAATGTTGTAAGGCCCAGGAAATCCGCATCGTATTGTATCTCCGGTGCATCTGGACGCGATTGGCGTGCTTTGATCACGGCTGGCAGCTGTGTTGTCGGAAAACCAAACTCTTCATCCGGAAAAGTAACCGTGGCGTAAAGATACTCTTTTGTATGAAGTGCAAGACTATGTATTCTAGGTGCGCTGCGCCACTCTGTTTTAATGACCATTTCGACAATTTCCCTCGTGTATGTTATAGGTATGTTCTTGATACGAATTGTATCTGGCCGGTCTTTTGTAAGAAGGCTTGGAGGTACTTCGTCTGAACCAGAATCTGTAGGGCGCGCTACACCTTTTCCTTTGTCTGAATGTGGTAGTGGATCGAGTTCTCGGCTCAAAACTTGGACTTTGAGACGGCAAAGATTTTGCAGTTTCTATGCTTGTCAGTATATGTCAGGTATTCAAGATTGGTTCTAAATACCTGCAATTCTTCAGGCTTGGGATCCTCTTTGGCTGGCAATTGAACTTCATAGTTCGTACCTCCAGACTAATTATGAATGTTAAAGTTACAGTTGATCAATGGACCCTAAATAAAAATACTAACGGGAGACTCCTTTCGAACTATCTTCGCATGGTTACCGAGGAATTTATGTACGATACTTTCAATCACAATTGTATATTCTTCTCTTTCCAAGGGGACAGTGCATACAAGATGCGAATGTTCGCTCGAATTTCGATTCATTGAGAAATCACCTCTGATTATACTCCCGCGAAACTTTGCAAATTGTGTAAAGAATAGAAAATGTTTAGCTATGCATACTCGTACCTTGGGAACATCAAAATATGCCTCGATCAGGCCACAAGGTATATTATTGTTTTGAGGCTCAATGTGGAGATAACACTCGAGCTGATCTTGCAACTTACTTCGGAGCTGTGCCTTCATTGGAATTCGTTGCATAAAGCCTCGTGGTGCGGTGCAACCCTGGCGTTGTGTAACCATTCTTTTGTGTTTCACTTCTATGGCTCACTGCTTCGCCCGAAAGATTCGCCCTCTGGAATGAAGGTGTGCCAGGGCAGTGCGTAATTTGTGGTGTTGAACTCGGTGAGGGGTTTGATAAAGAAGAGATGCGACCTGGTATTTGGAAAGATTACCGCACTGATTTCTAAACTAAATCTCACTCCCAGTTTCCCAATAATGTCTCGTTTTCGGAAGCCTCTCGTGGAAAACGTGGGAGTGTCAGAACGAGTTCCATCTTACACGTCAGCTAACTATCCAAATGCCCAGTGGACAGAAGACGTGAAACCGCAATCGTTTGGTACTTCCAGCCTTGCGACAGAAATGGAAAAGTCTACTTCTTCAAGCCTGGTAGCTCAAATGCCAATAAATATTGATGATGTGTGGAGAGAAGTACGAGCGCTTGAACGCCACAATTTTGCCTCGTCACGGTATCGCAAAGTTGGGAAGACGATTGAACCAGTTATAGATTTTTTAACGAGGTTCTCTCCTGTAGTAGATATGATGGTTCAGGGAACGAGTAGTGCCTCTTTAGTATGGGGTTCGTTGAAAGTTGTTTTGATGGTTGCCCAAACCTCGGCCACCTATTTTTACTATATCGATAATGCGATGTTGAAGCTTGGTGGTATCCTTTCCATCTCGAGTCAATATGAAAAGATGTTTGCGACGGAAGTACGTGTGAGAAATGCGTTGTCGGATTTATATGACGAGATTTATCTTTTTCTGGAGAAAATTAGAAAGGTGGTTTCTATCAGCTGTGAGTAAAATGTCCCCTATATTTTCTGTTCGGCTCTGACAGGGGGACAGCTTTCAAAATATTTCTCAAAAATATTAGAAAATCTTTTGACACGGAGTTTAAAGATAATTTGGAGCATATTGAAAGATATGCTAGAGTTTTCAATGATGAGATCACTTTAGCACATCGAGCTCGGATAGACACCTCGACCAAACAAATCCATGAACTAGTTGGAGCACTTGCCTTGGATAGTGCAGATATGGTAACAAGAGTGGATAGCCGAGATGCATATGGTGAGTCAAATGATACTTTCATCACTTTCACTCATTTTATTACATGAATTCTCTTCATAATACCCAAGCTGATAAGCAAAATAGACACCAGGGATTCGATATTGAAATGGTTGACTCAAGTCGACCATAGAGAAGATTATCAACGAGCTCTTAAAAGGCGTTCACCTGAAACTGGAGTTTGGATACAACATCACTCAACGTTTCAGTGTTGGAGAGACTCCTCTAGAGCCTCTCGCGACTGTTCAACGCTGTGGATTCATGGCCGTCCCGGATCGGGCAAGACCGTGCTGAGTGCTACCACCATTGAGCATCTTCAACTAGAGTCCGAGGGAAAGGAAACGCATTTAGTCGCATATTTTTATTGCGATTCCGGGGATTCTCGCAAGAGATCGACTTTGAACATCTTGGGATCTATTCTGGCACAAATTATTGAGCCGATGCATACCTTTCCGATGGAAGTTTATAAAGCTTATCATCGAGCTAGAAAGTATGGGAGACAGCATATATCTACTGCGGACGATGTTCTCTCAGTCATCAAACATGTCGTGGTAGACACTCCATCGGCTTACATTGTTCTAGATGGGATAGATGAATGCAGCGACCCCGCGGATCTTACAAAATCACTCGTGGATATAGCAGGAGGCACTTCGAATGTCCGACTAGCCCTTTTTTCTCGAAAGCTTCCCAATATTGCAAATGAACTCTCAGAAATCTCACACGTAACGATTGAGTTGGAGCCTGCTTTAGTACAGCTAGACATTGACAAGTTTCTGACTAAGTCTTTGAACCATTTACCTAGTAAGGGTACAGGTGCACAAGATCAAGCATTTTCCAAATTATCGAATGCTTCTAGTGGAATGTTTTTATATGCTGCTTTGGGAGTTCAAAGCCTAGCCGAAGCTATTGACTCCCAGAGTATTATAGAGGCTATTGATAAAATTCCTGAGGGACTCAATGGTGTATACGGGCAAATACTCGATAGATTAGGGGCCCAAAGTATTCGACGACGAACTCTTGCTCGGAAGATACTCTTGTGGGTTTGCTGCACAACACGACCATTATCGTGGAAAGAGCTTCAGTGCGCTTTGTCATGGGATGATATCAAAGAAGAATTCTTGGAAGATCAACGTCCTTTCAAGGATGCTGTACTTGATCTATGCGCTCCGCTGATTGAGTACCGACCAGAGAAGGACACGTTTCACCCAGTTCATTTATCTGTTCGAGAATTTTTATGGAAGTCTCACGGATTTGACTCCATGTCCGCAAAAGCAACACAGTTCCTGATGACTGAGTCGCATACACATCAAACTATTGCTGAGGTAACCTTAGCTAGTCTCTCGCTACCAGCTGTTATCCACAGCACAAGTGTTGATCATCTTCAATATCCATTGGTCAAATACTCTACCGAGAACTGGTGTCATCATCTATCCTCGGCGTCATTTGATGACCAATTGTGTCAAAAGTACGACAGCTTTGTCACTTCACCCCTAGCGCGATCAACATGGATTTTACGATTTCTCGTCTCAAACAAACAATCTTTTCCTCTACAACGCATAGCCAAGTGCCAAAAGCAAGTCAGTAATTGGAAGCACAATAAAGATGGAACAGCGACCACTTTTGCGGCGGAGGATCTAGCTGATATACAGCGGGCGTTGATTGAACTAGACCAGTTACCTTTGAGCCAGGCAGAGTCTATATCTAATTTTGAACGCGACCTGATCGTCCGGGACTTGGCACGAGCTTTCACAATGGCAGGAAAGGTGGATCAAGCGATTCAAATGTTCGAAAAGGCTGTCGCCCAGAGTTTCCAAGAACCTTTGTTGCCAGATTCCGTCCGCACAACTTGGCTCCTGAATAGTCTCGGAATCATGTACGACCAGAAGAACCTAACCGATCTTGCAGTAACGACCCAAATGAAAGCTCTGTCAATCCAAGAAAAGCATCTCCCATCTGATCATCTGGACCTAGCATTGACTCTAAATGAGCTGGGTCGAGAAACGCGACATCTTGAGCGATACTCGGAGTCAGAGCAATACCACCTTCGCGCTCTCAATATTCTGCGACAATCTCTTCCCGAAACAGATCTGCAAATCATTTGGACTTTGAATACTCTCGCACGCTGCTACCGCTTTCAGGGCCGCTACCCCGAAGCTCTGGATCTTCACCAGCTTGCGTTGAAAGGCCAAATTATCCTTATGGGGGAAGATCATCCGCATCCCATACGCACGAGGTCGGATATCGCGAAGGTGTTGAAAGAGCAGGGAAAGTATAAAGAGGCGTTGGAAATTATGGAAGATGTGTATGAAAGAAGAGTGATAGTGCTGGGAAAGGATAATCCGGATACTTTGTGGTCAATGAATGATGTAGGATGTTTGTGGGAGGGAATTGGGGGTTTTGATGGGAGAAAGAAGGCATTATTTTGGCATGAACGGGCGCTGGAGTTGCAGAGTAGGGGTTTGGGGGTGGGGCATGCGCATGCGGTTTGGAGTCGGGGGGTGGTGGAGAGGTTGGTGAGGGATGGAGGGGAGGCGTGATGTGGATTTATTGTTGTTTATGGTGGTGGTAATCAGTGTTGTGCTTATTTGAATGGGATTTTTGAATTAGATATGATGTATTACGAATAGATCTTTTGCCTTCATGAATAGGGACGATATTCATCATGTATGAGTTTATGGAAACACCTATAATCATCGATATATTGTAAACTTTACCTATTCTCTGACAATTCCACATAATAAATGCATACAATAGTTATCAACATTGCACCAACTCATATTCAGTAAAAAGTGAAAGAAACGGCGATGTACGCGATCTGAGTGGGGCAAAGTAGTGACCGTGACACAATAATCTAAACATATCCATCAAAACTCGGGTATGTAAGCCAAACCTTCTCAGCATTATGAACTTAATTCCAAATTTGTTGGAGCAAGAAGATATCAGGCACGAGAGATCTCAGCATTTAAAAGTACCGAGACTTTGCACAACTTCGAGTACTCGAGTATATAAAGGAAGACCCATATGTAGTACTTATCCTGTCACGTCTAGCGTGACGGATTCCTGCGTATATCGGTAATTTTGTCATCAATGACAGTAACTAATTGGCTTTTAGAATAGACAGCAATATATCTATCTAATGGTGACGGAGGTTAAATATATTGGAGACTAAAGACTTGAGGTATTAAGATCTTGAACAGATTATGGCCATTGTGAAAGTAGAGCCATGGCGAAATGTGTCCCTAGAGGGCCCGGAGAAAGTGGCATGTGGAGAATTGTTACTGCCAGCTTAATTGATTGTCCCGGTTGTCAGCTTTTTTCTATATCTTTGTGTGGAAAAATGAGTTATGATGAGATGATTAAATAGGAAGAAGGTGTAGTGAGCTCGAGTGGATATTTCAATAGGGGGTGTGATGGGATGAATGAATGATGATGCCTAGGTCGCAGTTTTTAGGGTGTAGGACGAGTATATTTCCTATAAATAGCTCTGAATATTATGAAGCTTTCTTTTCTTAAGCTTTAAGGTTCGGAAAAGGGTGAAAGCAAATGCATGGAAACTTTGTGCAAGAACTTGCATTCTATCTATATCTGTCCCGGGAATTAAGAGTAGAAAGATGATATTTTGAATACTATGTGCGAGCGGTGAAGAACTTGATATGACAGTAGAAACTACAAATAGTGGTTGCGGATATTTATGACAGTGAAAATTACAAATAGTGGTTCTGTATTCGAGTACCCACTCCAGTACCATAATAGAGTACCTGTATACAGAATGAAATAGGTTGACCTCCTTGGGGTATTGCAAAAGGCAGAGAGTCCCTTCGGTCTCTAGCTCGATTTAGCTTTTCTTCATTTGGATAATTTTCATTCATCATCGACAGTGCTAACTAGGCCTCTTGCATCTGTGACAACAATACATCAACGACAACGAATCATACATGTGTCCCCCCAAGGCCCATAGCTAAGCGATGATGATAAACGAGTATTCGACCACAACATACATATCCCCATGCCAATAATACCTCTACTACACCTTCCTTATCATGATAATTATATTTATACCCTGCATAAACCCAACTCTTCCTAAATATCGAGTAGCTACACGAATTGAGTTACATTGTCTCACCAGACCTAGTTGTTTCATATTGAGATTCGGATTGGAGTTGGTTAATATGTGCATACAGGAAAGGAATGTAAATTGAGGCCCTCTCCTTTTAAATACCTTCTTCTGAGAAGTATGAAGTGGATGCGCACTCAAGTGGATTTGTATCTAGTATATCTTCATAAGATTATATATATATAGGTTCCATAGTATCTTTCTTAGAGATTCCGGTTATAATGAAAGGTTTGTATGGTTAATATGATTGCTATGATCAGAACTTGAGTCTTGAAGACTAATGTGTATTCAAATGGTTTTCACATTATAGTTAGAGAGCTAGTCTGAATTGTTTTCTGTATTTGATGTTGGATATTAGTTTTGCTGGAGAAATTCGACAGTAATAACGAAGGAATGATCAATAGCAACAACATTACATAATGAAAGATACCTACCCATCCCATCTCATCTACTATGTATTCATCTATCTGTCTATTTCTTATACTCACAACAATATAGCCTTGAGTTATACTCGAGTACAATCAAAACAATAAGCATCGATATCAATATTCATCCAACCTTAACCGAAACGAGAAACCCATCGTCACACTTAGAATAGTATCTAGGATGTCCACGAAAATTCCAAACTAGTTTTACATTTAAATACACTGCTAGCAGTTTAATCAGTACATACCTCGATGAAGCATCCTTATATTGAGAGTGGATGTGAATGATCGGACGAATCAGGAACATAAACGGAAACTTTGAAAGCCAAACTTTGAAAGCCAAACTTTGACAGTTCAGTGATGTGCTGTATGTGCTTCGGTATTTTTATTTTGACAAATCTAGGTATTCGAAGGTAACATTTATCATTTATTTTATGGGGCCCCCACCTCATTAATGGTCCCCTAAAGGATCCTTTTATGGTCAGATTGGTATTTTCCGGTATATAAAAGAGAGAAGAGGAGTAGATAGTTTGCTCTCCAAGTATTTATTGAGTCTCAATTACGAAGGAAATGCATGAGCGGCAAGCCGGTTTTGTGGATGGGAACTTTGTGATTATATCGCACGCATTTCTTCTGGATCTTAGGCATGTTTTTATGGGATGAGCGATGGATGAATGGCGACAAGAAGACAGTTGTATTATATTGATGTATATATGTCATATAGACACGGCGGTGGAAACATGGATATTGTCGATGATGGCAGCAAGAACAAAGTGGTATATCATCTATACTCGAGTATGATGGAAAGATTTATAGATATGATCTGTCTTCAAACATGAGCTTCGGCATTTCGACGAGACCAATGAAAGAGATCATGTTTGCAATTGAGGGTATTAAGCATTGAGAGAGTATTGCAGAAAATTAAAACCTAGCCTCCACTTTCTTTTCCACATCACCTAGAGCCCAAGCACTAGACTTCGTCTTACTCCTCACACTCGTAGCTTCTTTCTCTGTGAATCCCTTTGCCTCAACAGCCGGATTATAACCCAGCTTATTTTTCTTTCCAACTTCCGCCGAATCGACTGGAGTATTTGTCTTCTCATCAGCACGCTTATACACCGTTACCACTACAGCTCCCCCCAGTCCTAAATTATGTTGCAGAGCCACCCTTGTATCATCGACCAATCTGTTGTTGGCCCATCCACGGAGATGCCAAACAAGCTCGGCACACTGTGCTATTCCCGATGCTCCGAGCGGATGTCCTTTCGAGATTAGTCCGCCAGAGGGATTAATGACCATCTTGCCTCCGTATGTAATGTCTCCAGCTCTGACCATCTCATGGGCTTTGCCCGGCTGAGAAAGACCCATGGAATCAATGACAATCATCTCATTAGCCGAGAAACAATCATGTAACTCACAGACATTGACATCTGCTGGTGTCACCTTCGCTTCCTCCATAGCGGTCTTTGCGGCGTATTTCGTCATCTCGAATCCCATAAGGTCAATAGCAGATTTGGAAAATAGTGATGGAGCATCTGTAGCCATGCATTGTCCGGCAATCAGAATTGCTTGTTCTTTGAGATGTGGACGCGCATCGAGGAAATCTTGAGAGACCAGAACGGCTGCTGCCCCTCCATCTGATGTAGGGCAGCATTGTAATTTGGTTAGGGGTTCGTGGATCATTGGAGCTTTCATGATTTGTTCGAGGGTATAAACATCTTGAAATTGGGAGTATGGGTTTCGTTGAGAATGCTCGTGATTGACTCGAGCAATTTCCGCAAAATCCTCGTTTTTGGCGCCATATCTTGTTACATCAGGAATTAGCTTACTGCTACGCTAGTTAACAGCATGAGGGGATATACTTTTCCATATATTCCCGGCCTGCATTACCGAACATCTGCGCTGCACCAGGTGCATTTGTGACACCTCTGGTCGCTCGCATCATTTCTCCAGATGTACCAGTCGGATTACTGCGATCATTCCAGAAACTCTGTAGCGAACCCGGGTTCATCTTCTCAAATCCAACAACCAACATACAATCAGCACCTCCGTGGCTAATAATATTCCTAGCCAGTGCTAATCCAGTCGAACCCGTCGAACAATTGTTGTTTACATTGTAAATTGGGATTTGTGTCATTCCGAATTGATAAAAGACGCGTTGCCCGCAAGTCGAATCGCCATAGCAGTAACAAGCCACCCCTTGGTCCACGTCGTCGTAGTTGATTTGGGCATCAAGCATAGCCTTGATGCCAGCTTCAAATCCAAGCTCGGTGTAGTCGACTTTACCCCTGGGCTTGATGAACTTGGTCATTCCAACGCCGAGGACATAGCATGGTTCGTTGCGCTTGATAACCATGTTGAGGGATGAGAAAGAGTGAAATTTCGCGACCTTGATTAACACTATCTCAATTGAATAACAAAATCGTATCTGTGATACAGATACAGATCTTTCAATGTGAATTCCAAGTACTCTTCAGCGCTTTAACACGTTTCTGGGGTAATTGCGGAGAAATGACCGAGGCTCGGTAGTGGATCATAGCCGTTATTCCCGCTATAACCGGAGTGAATATTATGATTAGCGAGGTGGGAGCGTTGCTTAGTCATCACCCTATGTTTGAACTTTCTGATTTAAGCAGTCGCTCTTAGCCGCTGCAAAACTCCGTGCAATGGCCATATGTCTTTGCTCTTCGCCGTCGAGGATTTATCTGGCCGAGATATCATCTCTTTTACAATGGAAACGGAATACCCTTGACCAGGGCAGCCCCATCATCTGTTGGAACTCCTGGCCCACCCCTGGACATTCAGCATTCATTTGTCACATGACCTCATAATGAGGCCACCTCAGAGTGAAGGACCTACAGCTGGCATGTCGAGTAGGAAATGGCATTTGGTGATGGCGATGGTGATATATTTGGAACCTTCACAAAGAACCTCGATGTGATAGGACATGAACTTACACACGGCATCATCCAATTGACAACAGATCTCGAATACAAACATCAATCCGGAGCTCTCAATGAGTCAATCTCTGATGTCTTTGGAAGTATGATCAAACAATACTTTCCCAAGACTTCTGCAAAAATTGCAGACTGGCTTATCGGCGAAGGAATGTGCTCGCCCGCTTTTCGCAGCATGAAACAACCAGGGAAAGTCTACAATAATCCAAAGATTGGCATAGATCCACAACCAGCCACTCTATATGGCTAGAAAGTCTTGCCGCTTTCGCGCGACGGAGGTGGCGTGCACATCAATTCGGGCATTCCTAACCATGCTTTCTTCCTGGCGAGTGTGGTGTTGCCGCATTGGGCGAATATAGTTGAGATATAGTTGGGATATAGCTGGTAAGATCTATTACGCGTCTCTTAACGATCGATCCTTCAAGTCGGTTGATAGTAGGAAGGCTTTTAGGGCTTTTGCCGATTTGACGGTTAGATATGCGGGAGCGCTGTTTTATGATGATACTCAAGTAACGGTTAGGAAGGCCTGGATTAGTGTCAAAGTCTTGAATTGGAGACATTAAATTTGATTGGGTGGTCTTTGGGTCTTGGTTTTAGTGCTGGCTTTTATCATGGTGTTTCATTTGTCTTATTTTCTCGGAAGGACCGCGATAATGTGATTCATATGGGATATTCTCTCCTCTGAGTCACTCCTTGTGTAATTCAAGATACCTCCATTTTGTCATTGAAATGATATCTCACATTCAACATGACGTTATTTGTATGGTTTGACTGTACTATACCATATCTCCTTTTTGACTCTCCGTTCAGATAGCCTAGCTCCAATTTCCCAAGTCCTCATCATAATGCTGTCTGAGATTTGCGAGTCGAGAATTAGGGATTTGGGGTGATGTTATTTTATTTTTAGGAAGGAGCCTCAGGGAGGAAAAAGTAGTGCTGTAACTGGAGATAGAGAAATCATGATTTCTTTACTAGTATTGGCTGTTCTTAATATTCCTATTCCTTAATATAGATCTTATTTTTGTATTAAGGATTCCTTTATCCTATATTAGGAAATAACGCCTAGACCGTGATTAGGGGGAATCTGTCAAAGGAATCGCCGATTTTTGTGAAATTATATACCTACATTGATTTCCAAGTTTTTGGTCAGTAACCTCAAAATATTTCGAAGACTGAGGGTTGACCGTATATGAATGACAATACAAGCTAGTCAAATTCGCCAGCGGCAGCAGCAGCAGCAGTAGATAATTCGACATCAATAGAGAATGATTACAACCATCAAGTCATTGGAAGCGACGACAGCAATACCGAAAGTATATACTACAGCACAGTAGTACGAATCAGAACTCATCTATCAGGTACTTCTATCCGGTCACCTCAAAGGTTTATCAAAACTTGTACGCGCCTAGCGGATCATCCAATTGCATTGTACTTTTCCTGATCCCGATTGTGGCAGTTTTCGCATAGGATTCTAACTCGCTTTATATACTCGAGTACTCTGTACGATTATCGATTTGAGGATGGGGAAGGGGTGGATCCACAGGTCCGCAGGTCCGCAGGGTAGAAATTAGATGGACTTATTAATAGGGATAATCAAATCCCATAAACACAAACCCAACACACGAAAATGAAACAAACTCTCAGAATTCCATCTTCACTCTGTGAATCAATGCGGGTCATAGTAAGGAAGATATAAAAGATGAGCAATCAATTCTAATATGACACTAATACAGTCAATAGGTGGCATGACATACTCATCCGACATCCAATTTAAAATTCAGAGAAATTGTTCCTGTTCCTGTTCCTGTTCATATTCCTCTTTAATCTTTCTGTACATAACATGCAATACGAGGAGTAAGAATAATAATAATAATAAGAATCCATAATAACAAAACAATAAACACAATCACAAACACTATCCCAAACCAAACCAAAACGAAAACAAAACCAACAGCACAGCACGCCGCTCATCCAATAATCCCCAGAAGTGTGATGAGACAAAATAACACAACACCTTTTCACACCAAAAACCCCGAAGGAAATCGTATACTACACGAGACACAGATGATTTCCAACTTCTCCTCTCGCAGCGCATCGCGAACCTTTGTATCGGTACTCGAGGATACGTACTTTCAACGATAGATACCTAGTACTCTCGTTCCACGCTTACTCATACACCTACACCTACACCTACCCTCCCTACCTCCCTACCTACCTACACCTATCTACCTATCTACCTATCTACCTCCCTACCTCCCTACCTACCCATATACACCTACACCTCCCTATCTACCTACTTCCTACCTCTCTCCCTCCCTAACAGTCTAATCCAACACAAGTACTGTACCGTTAAAAAAAAAGAATCATAAACTCCTCCCTCAATGCTCCTCCCTCGATGCTCTTCGCTTTGCTTGCTTCGTTTTCTTCGCTTGCTTCGCTTGTTACAGGATTTGGGATTCAGCATTTGGGACTTGAGATTTGGGTCTTAGGATTTGAAGAGGTGGTATACGGTAGATATGTACTGAATATCCTGGAACTACCAGTGTACGCCTTATCATCTCATCTTCGCATCTTCGTTATCCAATTCAATGTATGATTTGAACAGTGATGTCATATTTCATATTTTCTCCCTACAATGCTCATGCTCATCTTTATCGGAAAAGAGCAGCACGGTTTGGATGGGTCGAAAGGAAAGAAATGGAAAGGAGAGAAATGGAAAGGGAAATATACATATGACAGATAATATACGCGTATGTACTGTGCCAAAGAAGCTGAAGCTCACGGGAAAGATGGATGGATGAAATGAAATGAAATGGAATGTTGGTCATAATTTCGTATTTGATGTTTCTCTACTCTTCTCTCGCAGTATACACACCCTTCTGTCCATAGCTTCGTGTGTCTCTGTCTCTGTCTGTCTCCGTCCCTGTTCCATAATCGTGTATAGCATAGGCACCTCCTTCGCAAATCCATCCATCTAGTCCCCCTAATCTATTCCCATCCCCATCCAAACCCCCATCCAACCTCCCCCCCCAAACCCAACTCATCCTTACTCTACTCCTCCCCCACTCTATTCTTCCTCAACCAGCACCGCCCTCTCCACCCCATCCGCCTCCCCACTAACCACCTTCTTCCCCGTCTTCACAATCTTGCCCAAAACCGTCTCATAATCCAAATCCGACTTTGCGATCACCGTTGCACTTTGACCTTTTAGATTTACTTCATATGCTTTGACTCCTATCCGCATGAACATAACATTAGCCTTCATATTATATTATATCATTCTACCCAAGTAACATAACATAATATAACATAAATTGATATAAAAGGGATAAGGAGTTAGGAGGAATTGAGAGCAAGTGAGAGTAAAAATAAAAACAAACCATCAAGCTTCTTCAAAACCCGATCAACAGCCCCAGAACATCCACCACAAGACATTGCAATACCAAATTTATACGTATGTTCGCCTTCGTCTGTGTTTGCGATGAGAGGAGCGGGGGTTTGGATTTCTGTATCGGCCATTTTGTCTGGTGTGTTGTGTATCTTTGTTTGTTTGTTTGTTTGTTTGTTTGTTTGTTTGTTTGTTTGTTTGTTGGAGGTACCGGTACTTTCTGCTTTCTTCCTTTCTGAATGTATTCGTTCTTGATTCAAGTCGTTCGTTTGTTGTTATTTCGAGGTTGTATGGTATTCGCAGATGTATTTATCAAAAAGTAGAAAGAAGGTAGAAGAATCTGGAGATGCAATATCGATTTAAATAGGTAGGTATGTAGGTCGGTATTTAAGGAAGGGAAGGCTGAAGGGGGGCACCGACAGATAGATAGCGTAATCTGCGCAATTATGTCTCACGCAATGCAGGTACTGACTGATCTCGCTTAGCAATCATAAAGCAACTCTTAGACCGACCAATGACCCCGATGCTAAACAAGGATGAAACTTGCTCAGAACAGATCACTTATCCATCGATCGGATATTGATATTCGGGAATTGGTAGTTCGGACACGAGATGGATATGTTTGGGTATTTATTATGAGCATGTTTTTCAGGGGATGGGATGGGGACCGTGATATAATGTTGATTCAGTATCTATGTTTTGCTTTTGCTAATCTAATTCGGTAACGGATTTTGTACTTTTGATTGAAGGGGGCTGGCTATTGAGGACCGCTTTGAGAAGAGTCTTTTTTGATGGGAGGATGGGTCACAGTGGCCACATCTGAATATGCAAAGTGCTAATGCAGGTACGGGATTGAGCGCATTGATATTATCTATAGCATAGGTGAAAATAACATATGAATAACAGAAGATTTTATTCTTATTCCTATTCTACTGCTCTACTGGTAACATCATTTACAAATGTGAGATAATCTAATTCGAAGATGGGATAAAATCTTCATCATCGGCATCCTCAACATGTGCCTGTCTATTTTCAACCTGATGTTCCTCTTCACCACCTTCTATCAATCCCGGCAATGAGTCGTCATCGTCTTCAGTTTCCGTGTCCGATACCCCTGATTCGGAATGGTCAGCATTTGCAGATTGTGTTCTCCAGAACATCAAGCTGTTCAAGATTCTTGTTGTGTTAGACGGTGATATAGGTTCACGTAGCTGTCCGTCATCTACATTATCGTCCTCTTCTTCTATTCCCTCCTCTTCTATTCCTTCAATCCGCATCGCTTCTGCAACGTAATCTCTGAAACGTTCAAATTGTTCATCTTCGTTCTCAACCTCAATTTCACCTTCAAAATCATCAGCTGCTCCACGAGCTCGGAATGCTTCTAAACCTGGGAACCCTGGAAGGAGTCGTGCCAGAGCTGCAAGGGGATCGTTGAATCCATCCACTGTCGCTTCTTCTTCGATTTCTAGATGCCTTTCCTGCAACGGATAAGAGATGGTGCTACGGTAAGGCGGGAGTGGATCGGAATCAGAGTTGTTGCTTCTATGAAGAATGTTCGATGGAACAAGAGACATCAATTCTCGTCGATTATCCAAGTAAACAAATCTGACAATGTCAAGACTCATTTCTCTGAGGTCGGATAGTAAGGGAATTTTGGATAAATCGGGCTTTTCAATCGTATGTGCCACTTCCATAAGCAATGAAGTAGACTCAGGAGTGTTCCAGAGATCCTTTGCCTGAAGAACATACAATTCCGTGAACAAGATGTCAGAAGCAGTTGGCGGTTCCGTACCCCAAATGGACTTCGGTGTATCAAGATCAAGTTCTTTAAATAGTCGACAAAAAGCCATGGTACACGTCCCATACTATCCGACAATATACTTCTACATTTGGGACCGTCCTTAAGTTGTTGCGCAGCGAGGGCGAATGATGCTTTCGCATAGTCGATTGTGTTAGCCCACTCTGGTACATTTCGACTGGCGGCAAAATCCAAAAGCCATTGAAACTCATGTGCGCGTAAGGCAAGATGGTGTATCATCCATCTCATGCAATATGGATCATCCTCGGGATCTAAGCTCAAGAGAAGCTTTGCCCATTCAAAGGCGGTGCGATAGGTTCCCTTCATCATGAGAGATTTGATGTAGTGATATCCTGCTAACCAAAATTCTCGATTCTCTGGTCTGGAAAAATCCAATCGAGCTTTACCTTTGGCCAATTTGGTACCGAAGGATGATAATGAAACACGACCAAATGTAAACAGGGCTCTCTCAACAAGATCCGATGATAAAGAATGGTCGCCTTGGTCTTTTGCGATCTTGCTGACTTGGAGAAGTAAAGAAATATTATACGCTATCATGGGTTAGCATTAAACATATGAAGGATAGACTGCTGTACTCACGGTTTCTTTGGATAAGTCCAATAAGGTTTTGGGGATCACCCATTTCGACCATAGCTTGAAATGTCTGCTGAACAACTTGGTATGTTTCATCATGCACGAATTTGTATTCTATAGTACCATCAACTACCTCTTGATTATCGAGGACCGCCATAGTCAATCCACCCGAGGAAGCTTTTGGCCATTCATCTTTTCCTTGAATGAGATAGTTGCGTCGTATGGTGAGCTCCGAAAGACCTTTGCCAGGTTTATGGTGTCCTTTCAAAACTGTCTCTAAGTCCATCTGTTGTGTGCGTTGTCTTCTTGCGCCACGGCCTGTAGGTCCCCCAGGATCTTCATGGTTTTCCGTAGCGGCGCGTCCAAAAAGACTTCGCATTTCGTTTGCAACTTTGAGATGCTGCGTATTGATGCCCAATAGAAGACAAACTCTCTCGTAATCTTCATCCGCTTCCATTGCACTCGTTGTATTCGCGACTTTTGTTTGCTTCAAATTTAACTCTTTGAGAGCTTTATCGATTTCATCAAGACCTTTCTTAGGTGTTCCTTTTACTGCATTCGCAGGGTCTTTATCCTTTCCCTTATTATTCGCCTTCTTCTTCTTCTTCGACTTTTTAGGTTTCTTCGTAGTCGCAGCTACAGTGGGTTCACTCAATTCTTCTTCCTCTGGCTCTTCGTCCTCATCAATTTCCTTAGATTCATCATCATCATCATCTTCTAGAGCTGCAAGGTTCGCAAATAAGCTGGGTTTTGATTGTAAGATTTGCGGCTCCTCATCGGATTCTTCTTCTTCTTCTTCTTCTTCTTGGATTTGTAGTTTGGCTTGTTGCTCAAGCTCACGCTGTTGCTGTAACTTTCGAAGCTGTCTACTCGACATGATGAAGATGGTTGTTATATGTTGTTTTGAGTTGTTGTTGTATGTTATATGTTGTTATATATTAAAAATTGATCGCGGAATGACGCATGGATTCACTTAGACTCTACCTAGTACATGTTAGTATATTTTACAGTAGTGGCGGGCGCGGTGGGGTTTAAGTGGGTGGCAGAATTTAGAAAGCGGTCAATAATTCGTCAATAATTCGATAGGTTAACCTTACTTAGATAGATACTCTTGAAGACAGTTTTATTATGTTGATTTTGATAATGAGATACCTTTACATGAATTTATGATTTTCTATTCCTTCGATAACTCTCTCTGTCTGCTCTCTAAATTATACCTTCTTTCTTCTACCAGTCGTTCATATCTCGTCCATAGGTAGTCAGATTACAGATAAATCACCCAGTCTCTCTTGGTCCTGCAATTTTACTAAATAACTTGCCCGGGATACTACCAAAGCGCCGTATCGGGAATCAGCTTATTAGCTGAACACCCTTAGAACTCGAAACTTGAGCATTTTCTAGTTACTAAAAGCTTTCATTTTCAATGCGTCGAGTAGCATTAAGAGCACTTCGCACTGCGCGACAATTACCTGCTCTTTATAGCACTCGTGGAAGCATATTTCAACCTTCAAGCCATGTTTTAAGAGTACGATATTCTTCCGGTAGAGCTCCTATTCCCAAATCACCATCATCATCACCAATACCACTACAGAGTTCTGTCATCCCAGCACCGATGCATTGGCGAAGGCTCTCCCTGGCCGTTGTTTCAGGTTTCGTTGGATATGGCGCATGGTACACATACAACGGAGACGGAATTCTCACTAAAGAAGCCAATCCAATTTCACCCGCACACCAATCCCGCGGCTTTGCAACTAACACCATCTATCCAGCACCGATCGGGCCCGAGGAGACCGCGGATGCAAGGAAGGCTGTAATTGTCGGCACAGATGGTCTTTATACTGACACGATTGAAGGTCCAATTTCAAAGGATACCGACGATTCTGGCAGAAAGGTTTTAGAAATGTTGACGCCAGATCAAGCGACGTCAAAATTAAGAAGAAATGAGGAATCATATTTCATCGGTCGTGGCAAAGGTGTTGTGCGATATGATGTGGTCCAAATTCCTAGCAACGACCCTATCGAAGACGATCATTCTGAAAAGATTATTGAAACCAATGAAGCAATTGGTGGAACCCCAAATTCTGCTTCGGATTGGATGTTCTGGGGTGTATTTGATGGGCATGCGTACGTCTTTGTATTCCATCCCAGGACTAATCTTTACTGACACCTGAACAGAGGCTGGACCACTTCTGCGAAATTACGACAAGTATTGATCAACTACGTCGCTAGGGAACTCAATACTACCTACCAAGCATCCCCAAATCCTTCCACAGAAGCCATTGAAGGCGCAATGAAGACCGCTTTCACCCGACTTGATAATGAGATTGTACATGAAAGCGCGCAGAAAGTAATGAAGGGTAATTCAAAATTAGTCGCAGCAGAGTTGTTGGCCCCAGCATTTTCGGGTTCTTGCGCGCTCCTTTCCTTCTACGATACAAACACGGGGCTCTTGCGCGTAGCATGCACAGGAGACTCCCGCGCAATCCTGGGACGACGAAGTGATAGTGGGAAATGGGCTGCGGCAGCTTTATCGGTCGATCAAACTGGCAGAAATCAAGATGAAGAGGCTAGAATGCGAAAGCTACATCCTGGAGAAGACCACGTCATTAAAAACGGTAGAGTTCTAGGGGGTCTGGAGCCAACTCGCGCATTTGGTGATGCAACTTACAAATGGACACGCCAAGTCTCAGAGCAACTAAAGGAATCCTTCTTTGGAAGAACCCCATCTAACCTTCTCAAAACACCCCCATACGTTACTGCGGAACCCGTCGTCACGACCACCAAGATTCAACCCGAGAGGGGAGACTTTGTTGTAATGGCAACAGATGGACTTTGGGAGATGCTATCTAATGAAGAAGTGGTTGGTTTGGTTGGTCAATGGATTGATAAACATTCATCCGATTCGAACGGAAACTCCGCGAATTCATGGACAAAGATGTTCACCGCTACTCAAAAGGGATTACCGGTAGAGATAAGTAAGGAGAACGGTAACAGTGGTCAGAAAGCCCCAATTCGACAACGTCAATGGGGTGTTAAGGAGAATGATAGATTTGTTGTGGAGGACAAAAATGTAGCCACACATTTGGTCCGAAATGCATTGGGTGGAAAAGACAAGGACATGGTTTGCGCGTTATTGTCACTACCTGCTCCATATTCTAGAAGATATCGGTATGTCATGCTTGTCCTCAAAGTTCTCATATGTTCCACTAACAACTCTACAGAGATGATCTCACAGTTGAAGTTATCTTCTTCGGCAATGGTCCAAAATCCGGCGATGTCATCGTCAATAAGGAAGCGAGCGCGAGCGCAAATATCAAGCCTAAACTTTAAATGATCGTTCACAAATCTTCCTCATTCTCTCAGCGTGTACTATCTAGCATTTATGAGCTTCCTCAGCAGTTTTCAGTCTTCTTCACAAAGATGAAAGGTGTTATACCCTCAGATTTGAGTCTAGAAAATGCATGCATGAATTCGAAATATTTGAAGTTAGTTCCTTTTGATAGCCAGTAGCTAGCTACAAGTAGATCTCGTAATTAAATCATAATTGGAAATTGATTGGAGTCTTTTGTGAATTAAGACGCAGCAGCAGGTAGATGGGTGGTGTATAGATTTATAGGATAAGTATCTACCAGAGTACTATCTATTAAAGTCCTGCAAATCAAAGTGATTTGTTTAGATTATATATCGATGGTTTCGAAGTTTTGATTTCTTATTGTTTATTTGTTTGTTTATCTGTTTATTTAATTTGGAATGAAGATTAAATTGAATTGGGTTTTGATGTGTTTATAAAATTATAGTTATAAATATTTAACTTTCGTACAAGTAGTATTCTACTCGTATAATTGATTTTCTATACTCTGGTAAATACTACTAAATAGTATTAGAGAATGTCCTCAAGTAATTTCGTATATATAATAGTGAGGCGGCAAAATCTTGTTTTTGCACACGTTATGAAATCAGATGTACTATATCAGACGTACTATATACATACAGCATTGCGCTAGCTTCTCTTCTAAGACGACATCCCCTTTTTCCTTAGCTTGTCCTTCCTCGCATTTCCACCAAGCACATAATCATATGCTTCCATCCTCTGTCGCGAACCGCGTTCCTTCCCCTTCAATTTTTTCCACAAATCATCCACTTGTTCATCAATACACGCCTTGACTTTGTCAATTTCTCGGCTGACCCTAACGACCTCATTGATTTGTTCCTTAAGTGGCGGAAGTTTGATCAGTACGGGTCCATGATCCGTCGGAGATATTGGTTCCTGAGACTTCCACAACTGCAGCATCTCTGTCGCATTTTCGATAGCACCAACACGTTGCTTCACCATCTTCTCGATCTGTTTGGAGGCCAGAGAAAGCTGCAACTCATAACCTTGTGGATCATTAGCCGAGCCACTCCTGAGTCGTTCAAGTAGTTTGTTGGCTTGGTGGAAATCAAAATTATCCCAATTTCGAGCTTTTGCTTCTTTAGTCATGCGGGATTCTGCTCCCTTCAATGCTCTAGCAAGAGCTTCCCTTTCTTTGATGGCCCCGACAATTGCACTCTGCTGAAACGTATGTGTTCTCTCCCAGAGATAACGCATTTCCTTCTTCAGCTGTTCGTAGTGATTGAACCAAATCTCTGTGATTTCTTTACCTTCTTTTGAATTTAGGTCAAGTGGATCTTTCCACTTGTCTTTAAGTTTCACCTTACTAAGCGCTGTCTTGAGTAGATTGCTCTCGTCTTTCAAAATTCTAATCAACGGATCGAAAAGCTTTCGGTAATCTCCAATATCTTTCGAGAGTGCCCAAGCATGATTTCGGAAGCCTTTGAGCTTTTTATTGAGCGCCAGAGAATCCGCCGATAGATCTGGTACACTTTGTATGAGATTGTTCATAACATACGGAATATCTGAATATGCGGCTTGTAAAGAATCAAAGGTATGAACTTCGTGTAACATCGCGAGACCTTCAAGTGGGCTTGACAACGTTTGGACCCCAATTATTTCAGGATAGTGACGAACTCCTCGATTTACCTGGTCCCTTCCGGATTTAGATACTTTTGAATCCACTGCTCTTGTATTTGTTTCACCAAGCGGATCAAACACTGAAATTCCTTCATTGCCTGGAAAATTTGGGATCCACACTATTACTTCCGTAAAAAATTTGTACCAAGTCAGATAAACAACTAGAAGGGCGCCTAGAAAGGCAAGTCCATTGAGAAAAATGTCACTGCGTAATATCGCTAACGTGTAATCGAAAATAGTCCACCCTGTTATCTGCGGCTTTGGTAGTGTAATATCTTCCTGATATATGGGAGAGGGATCTTTTGGTGACCTGGAAGTGATGATTTTCTGCGATCTTAGTGACGGAATTGAATCTTCCGATTTCGAGGATGTAGAGGATATATTGGATTTTCGACGGTGAACGGGACTCGTGTTATTAACTGTAGACATTGTTGGAAAATTTGATCAACTACAAGCTTGATAAGATTGTTCAGATGGTAAGCAGGTGGTCTTGAGAATAGGAAGATATCTTTGCGTTGATAAGAAGTGAATGTCTTTATGATGATCTCCTAGCCAGATTAGGTAAGTGACAATGCTCTTTTAAACGGGTACTTGTTTGAGGTAGACAAAGATTTGATATTTTGCCGTTTGATATCACTGGTCCTTCAGTACATTGGAAGTTCTTTGTTTATATTATTCTAAATTTTTATAGCAGAATAAATTAATAACACTTCAACGAAGCTTGCATAACATAGCTCTGAGCTGACAACCGCAAACAGATAAAGGAAACTGCCATGATTTACCACAAAGCAAATTCATCACAACAAAATGAGGAACTACTGTCTGATCCTCTGTTCTAATAGCACTGTCTGGTAATACCACCAGGAAACCATGGCGCAACCCTCATTTAAGCCAAGTGTCAATGTTCTCAAATATGGACCGTGGTTACAAAATGCCCAGATATCTGGCATCACGCCACTAGCTCCCCTCTTCCCCAAATCTAAGATTGATCCAACAGAACTCGATGTTAGACAGCGAATCGAGGAGTTTCAGCGGGAGAAATTTGAAGGATTTATGGCGAGAGAGCTAGCGGATATGGATGTGATAACCGACAGAAAATTGAAAAGTCCGACATTGGATAACCCTATTATGCCAATTTATAGACAGGAGAGAAGGGAATTGCAACCTTCTCAACCGTAACATACGAGGGATCATATGTATCCGCTTATCCTCGATGGTAAGCAGCATGGCGAGTGGTCTATGCACAATCCTTTGGTGTGGGAGAAGATGAAGCCGGTTTTACAATTGGCTACTAAAACTATGATGAGCATGTATTCATTACCGTGGGTAGGAACTATTCTGCTGTATAACGTTCATAATAATCTCTCCGTTGGCTAATGGATGTAATAGCTTTGGGCCCTACTATTTGGTGAAAGAAATTCTATAGATCCAGCGCGAATTCGCCCACGAGGTTCGTTACCGGTTCCCAATTTCATACTCCTTTCACATTCAATCCACTTCCTCTGTTTCAAAATACATTATTATTTTTCCTCGTGCGTATATTTTTCATCTAATTAGTGCGGATGATAATCATTTCCGATTCAGATATAAGTGACATTGCGAAAAACGTGGTATCCTTCCGCCCATTCCGCATAATGCGCCACGACATGGCTAAAAGGAAAATGGATGAATTGATTTTTAACTTGCAGCATACCTGGAATCTTACTTTTGGGTTCATGTCACCCGTCGAAGACCCTCGAGGCCCGGAATTCGACCAAGACGATAACAAAGCGGGCGATATACATGGGATTTGCGTCACAAATCAAGAACAAATGTTATATACGGATGATACGGTTAAGTCATGGGGTGTTTGGATTTTCATCAATTATAAGGAGGTTGCGACGTTGTTTAGACATGATTTAACGTCTGCGGAGAGGGGAATGGTGGAATGGGCTACCGCAATCACACTTGTGCATGAGACTATCCATGCGATCAGCTACACCACTCCTAAATCCGACGGTACCCCGTTACAAAACCTAATAACTGATAGTCCGCCGCCGTATTTCGACATGGAGCCAGCGGCAAAAGTTGGGTTTAGCTTCGAAGCTTGTGTAAGTTCTTCGCAGCTCTGGCATTCAAGTTTTGTGTACCAATAATGACTTTTATAGTTGAATGGGGGAACGAGTGCTAATTTCTTAACGGATGAATACCGACTGCCATATGGGCATTGGTTCGAAAGGATGTGGCCGACATTAGAATCACAATACTTCTGCGAACAAAGTGTAACTTTAACCCAACCCGACCCTTATGATTACCAAGAAAAATTTCCTATACCAGTAACTTTCTACGAAGAAATTCAGCAAAAGGGCTTTTGGGATTACATGGTGTATAGATTCGGCCACAAGCTATTTCATTTTCGAGCTGTTAAACATGAAATCCGGCTAAACTTCACGGTACGAACGAAACAAAAAACACCCCTGAAGTTTTCAACGTCCAAACCTTTTTCTGTGGCTGCGGTTGGTGACGAATTTGGAGCAACCGGTCAGCATTTAATGATCAAGTGGGAGCAGATACACAGTGTGTATGATATGCAGACAGTAGAACAAGATTTAAAGACAGCTTCAATATTTTCGACAAATCTAATAAGAAGTTCAACAACCGAAGAAACGTTTTGGACGCAGTCTAGACAGCAACATCAAAGTGTCCAGGTAATATTTGACCATCTACAAAACATGAATACATCATCGGGAGACAGAACTGCGAGCTTTGGACAGCTAGTCGAACTTGTGTCCATCATTGTAAGAAACCATGAACAAATAATCAGTATACTATTCGGAACTGGTCCATACGTTCAACCGAGAATGGGAACACCTTCAGAACAGAGGCGAAGAACTCTACTTTCATGGAACAGATGTATATCCATCTTCATCAAAGATTGCAGAGCCCAACAATCCATCAACGAACACCACGCAACACGACTCGCAGAGAACGCCACCGCATTAGAAATATGTCGCATGCGACTCTTCACCCCAATCATCACCCCCGAATCCATACACACGGGACCCGATTTCCAAGAATTAGCCCTACTACTGCGCATCCAACAATCTGCAGCCGGAGAAGCAGTGCAGTGTTGGGATCAATGCATGCAGCTTCGTGCTATTGATGGATGCTCGCTCTTCGCGACTTTTTGTGCGAATTTCGCTATATTTTCGTTGTATGCTAGGAGGGAACAGTCTGTAGCTGATAGAGAAAAGATTTTGGGTATGTTTCGGCAGGAGTATGAGCGTTTTGTGAAATTGAGAGGGAGGGCTCCGCGATCGTGGGCACAGATCTTTATGGTGTGGGTTGAGTTTGCGCAGAATGTTGTGAGGTCGATTCGCGAGACTTATCAGATGTGAGATGTATTTTTTAAATAAATTTAGGGTATTCGATGGTCCGAAATGGTGGATCAGATCTTTAAGCTTTTGAAGTCTAAAAATTTTAAATTCTTGGGAAAAGAAAATAGGGTTTCAAATGTATCGAATTTCAAATATTTGTATGCCGTAGTAGCTCTACAATATGTTAAATTGACATGAATTATCAACGCTCTTAGGAAATGAAATACCAATAATTCCATGATATTTAATCTCTCAAGGTTTTAATGTATGTAGCATTAACCGTGACCACTCAAAAGGCGCTAAAACAAGGGAGCCGAGATTCAAAGAGAATTGACGAACAAATTCTAAAATTTAATCTGGAGGGTCTTATTTGATCGATAGATTGATACTCTATCCTGTTAATAGATCTGTGTGGGAATTTAGTGTGTTTGTTTAATGTTGTAAGGTTATCATGGTGTAATATTTGAGTCACGGTACAGTCATCGGGACTTGAGAATAGCTGGCAGGATTTATTAGTTGCCTCTGTTTTGATTAAGGAGGCGTCAATGGGAATTTTTTTAGACTATAATAAACTGATTTTATGATCATTAATGCGGTTATGGTACCATCGAAGCTACAAAAATATACGATTAATACTCGCTAAGTGTCTATGATAGATAATAGTTGGTCCATTGTGTTCTAGGACGGTGTTTTAGCTTGGTAGCTCTTTTTGTAGCATATGTAAGAAATATTAATGAGGAATATAATTCTAAACCACATTTTACGCGTTTAATACTCTAGATCGAACATTGTCTGCGACTAAACCTATCGTTTAGAACATACACAATCCCAAAGAACCCCCATTTCTCCCAAGTCTACCACCAAATAAATCACAACTATCAAGCAGGCGCTAAAGGAGATCTCCAACTATACGAGCTTCCAGGACATATCTATCTACTACCCCTTTATCCCCAAGTCTCCTATCAGCAATTATCTAGCCCCGTGTCGTAATCCCCACGCCCCATCTCCCCTTTCCACCCTGTTTCTACCAACCACGCCAATCACATCATCTCAGCCCCACTCTAGCTTCTCATCCCGCCACAAATAGTCCAGTTGGTCCTCCTCTCTCTAATTCAATCGCTTAATTACCAGTTATAGGACCCTCTCACAAGACGGTGTTGGATACTTCTCCGTTCCAAGTAGTTGGCAGCGCTCGATATTAGTCTGATTGCTGTAATCATTTATAAAGCAGACGCTATGGAAGTACTTGCTATCATTAAATGGATTCATGATGCTATGATCAACTATATCGGCTGTATCATCAGATGCCATGTGGTTTGCTACAACATCAACCATCAAGTACTGACAGAATTAGCCTATTTTTCCCTGCATTGCTCTACAAGTACTGACTCACTGTACTGTGTAAATTCAGATGTAAAAACACTTCTGGCTGTAAGTTAAATCCCATTCTCTTGTTCATTCTAAATAACTGACTATGCTTACTGTTAACATTTCCCGCGTAGGGTACTCAGATCATGATATACCTTATTCGAAATGATTCCCAAGCCCTCTTCCGATACGTCTTCGACGATCTTCTCTGCCAACGTCACATGTCTTATCAAGCCAACCCCAGTACCAGCGTATGCAATCATCCTACCATGAGAGCCCCAGGTCTCGTCGCCTTTCTTTAGCTCCTCTCTGTACAAGCGAACATTTTCCTCGTCTGTCATTCCAGCTTTCTCGTCCTCGTGGCCCTTGTTGAGTAAAGCACGACCGTCATATTGTGCTGGCCATCCGACTATTGTCTTCAATCGATCGCACAGAGTCGACCGCCCAGTACTAACACCGCCATCAACAGCCTTCACCAGTTCTTTTTGCCAGCCTGATGGAATACCTGCTTCTTCAGCTGCTAGAAATTTGGTACCCATCACTGATTCTGTAGCCCCTAAACATAATGCCGCAGCAACACCTCGCCCATCCATGATTCCCCCAGCTGCGAGTAACGGTGGACGACTTGCACCTCTATCTACAAGTGCATCCGCAACTTCTGGAAGCAACGAAATGATACTAGCGGATCGAGCTAGACCATGACCTCCAGCATCAGTACCTTGGATTGCCAGAACATCTGGATTGGCAGCGTCGATAACATACATTGCTTCCTTGACAGTTCCAACTTGCACCCATACGGAAACTGTATCGTCACTGACAGATCTGACTTCTCGAGCCCATTCTTTCAAATCTTCTGTTCGTTTCGGTGCGTAAAGCCATATTGCTGAAGGCTTGTGTTTCTCCGTAGCTTCAACAGCGACATTTATCTTACAGTCCCAGTTCTGAAACCCAATGCCAATAGGAAGACGGCCCGAACACATAAGTTCGGGTCTTTGAGGAGTGGCAGCCGAAAATAACGAAGTCGTGATTGTAAGTTTTCGATCAAGATCCGACGCATTGTTCCCTCCTGCAAGGAACCCTATACCTCCTGCTCTACTTACATTTGTCGCGAGAGCAGGTGTTGCAGCTCCTAACATTGGCGCTGACACTATCAGCGGCCATTTAATCCATGGAAATGCTTTTTGCATATATCGCCTTGCTGGTAGCAACAATGGTGGCATGATGTGTTGACTGTTGAGATATCAGTCGTGAGGGGTTTTGGTGCTTTAGATTTTTCGCTCTTCACGACATCCTTGAGATATATCATCAGTTATTTCAACCGATTCAAATTCAAAGGCTTTGGATTCGAGAGTGTAGGTTGTGTAGTTTACAGCTCGATTTATTCCTTTTCCAACGGACAACCCCCTCGATGTTACATGCTTACTAATGTGATTATGTTGCCAAAAAATGCGGGGGATATCACGGGCCGTGATGCCCGCAATTTCCGCACCTTATAAATTACCCTGAAGCCATTTCCCTCGACAATCCTTCGGAGTCTCCCGGTCAGACATCTCCCCGGAGATGCTTCAATTACTGGTGGATGTTTTATTTTATCGTTTTCCTACTCGGCTCCAAAGAAACATGCCACTGTTTGTCGTATTGAACCAATAATAATTGAGGTATTCGTGTGATGCTGACAGCAGTTTGCAACCATGAGACCCAATGTCGGGTTCGTTCATAAGATGCCTTGGCCCAGTACATCTGGAATTCCTGGAATAATCAACAATACCAGAACATAATACAGTCTAACAAACAATAACTAATCTCGAGATGTCACTCACACCTCAGCAAATCACTATTATCAAGGCCACAGTACCTGTTGTCCAAGAGCACGGGAACGCCATCACTACTCTCTTCTACAAAAACATTCTCGATGCGATCCCAGCTCTGAATAACATATTCAATCAAACCAACCAAAAGAATGAAGCCCAACCCCGTGCTCTTGCGGGAGCCCTCGCAGCCTACGCAGCGAACATTGACAATCTCGCTGTACTTTCAGATGCCGTAGAAAGGATATGTCAAAAACATGCCTCCCTATTCATCAAACCAGAACACTACCCCATCGTTGGAAAATACCTCCTCGAGGCAATGGGCGACGTACTCGGCGCAGCACTAAAGCCAGAGATCCTAGACGCATGGACAGCTGCCTACGGACAATTGGCTAAAATCATGATTGATAGAGAAGCGCAATTGTATTCCGAAGCCGGCGAATGGAAAGAATGGCGAGATTTCAAAATCGCTAAGAAAGTGGATGAATCCAGTATTATCACGTCTTTCTATCTAGAGCCTGTGGATGGAAAACCCCTCCCTCTGTTCAAACCCGGCCAGTACATATCTGTCCAGGTGCATGTACCACAGTTGGGCTACTTGCAATCCAGACAATACTCACTGAGCGATCAACCCAACGAGAAGTACTACCGCATCAGCGTTAAGCGGGAAGATGCGCTCGAATCTCCTGCACTCAACACATTGTTTGAGGCAGGATTGATTTCCAACACGCTACACAGTACCAAGAACGAAGGTGATATAGTACAGGTTTCACCACCCCAAGGTGAATTCTTCCTCGATTTAACCAAGAACGCCACTTCTCCCGTAATATTAATCTCCGCCGGCGTCGGCATCACGCCCATGATTTCCATACTCAACACACTTGTTGAGATGGGAAGCCGCAGACCTATATCATATATCCACGCTGCACGCAGCAAAGAAGTTCATGCATTCGATAAACATGTCCAAGGAATCGTCACCTCGCATTCGAATATCAAATCCTGGGTTTTCGTCAAAAATTTACCAGTAGACGATGATGGAATTCAGACACAGCATCTCGCGAGACGAATGGATTTGTCAAAGATTAGAGAGGAAGCGTTGCATTTGGAAGATTCGGGGACGACTTATTTCATCTGTGGACCGGGGAGGTTTATGCTTGATATGAGGAGGGCTTTATGGGGGTATGGTGTGGCTGAGGAGCGGATTAAGTTGGAGGTTTTTGGGACGGGGGATGCGGATGTGGGATTATAGGATATGAGGGTTAAAGAAATGTTTTCGTGATATTGGATATTGTTTAGACGATAGGAGTTGTATGTACATACTCGGATACGAGGAGAAGAGTTCTAGAAGTATACACACACTCCGCTAATATTACATGCATAAATATGATACCATTAAATTTACGAATCACACTCCTCCTCACCATATTGTTCGCGCTCTTATCATCCGTTCATACAGATGAACTCTCTACCCAATTTCTAGTATTTGACCAGATGGCTAAAGCTACATACATACTATATATATCTCTCATTTCATTCTTCCATCCATTACACCTCATATATCACATTAACCATCTCAATACCCGATACCCACTATCCTATCATCCCCCGTAAATCCCCCATAACTCTCCTCTCCCTCCCTTCCCCACATACCCTTCCCCTAGGCCCACATCTATCCATTCATCCAGTCCATCTATTCATCATCCCCCCCTCCCAAAACCCCTTGCCCTTGATCATGAAACAATCAAAATCAATATCAATATCCATACAACCAATAACTCAGGGATTTCCCATGCAGAGGCGGAAGGGAATATGAGATGGGGATTGGGTACC